AGCAAGGTATAAAGAGAGAGAGGTGGAATTTGTGCGATCCCGGGTGAAGCTCATCACCGACCTCGACACGGGATCCCCGCTTTTCTACTCCCTCGGGAGGCAAAACGGGAGGTGCAAATCCATGGAGTGCTTCTTTGATGGTGACGGTGTCCTGACGCACGAACTCCAGCAGAAGTCGACCATCATCAGAGACTTCTACCGCAGCCTGTTCTCCCTGAAGAAACATCGGGAGTGGCCCAGGTGGAGGCATGGAGTGGTCTACCCACCCTGGGGGAAGACGGGAAAGAGCTGCTAGAGCAAAAATTCACCAGGGATGACCTTGACGCAGCTGTAAGAGGACTTGCCCCAAATAAATCCCCAGGGTTAGACGGGCTAATAGGGGAGTTTTATGCCGCTTTTTGGCCATCCCTAAGGGAAGACTACAGAGAGGTGCTGGAGGAAGCCTCTGTGACCGGGGTGATGCCTCAGTCTTGGAGGAGGGCGGTGCTCACTCTGCTTCCCAAGAACGGAGACCTGAGACACCTACAAATTGGCGTCCGGTGTCCCTCCTGAATACAGACTACAAAATATTGACGAAGGCTCTTTCCCTGTGACTGAAAGGGGTGATTGCACAAGTCGTAAACAGGGACCAGTCCTACACCATCCCCGGACGAACCATCCACGACGGCACCTTCCTGGTCAGGGACCTCATCGCGGTGTCCCAGAGGTTGGGCATCCCAATCGCGTTTCTGACTCTTGACCAGGAAAAGGCTTTTGACAGAGTGGACCACAAATACCTGCTGGGAACCCTCAAGACCTTTGGTTTTGGGGATGGCTTTGTCCGAACGATCCTGGCATTAGAGCCTTTCCTGAGTCTCATAAGGCGGAGACTCAGCGGTCTGGTGCTCAGGGAACCAAGTGTCAAGTTGGTCCTGACGGCATACGCCGACGACGTCCTCCTCCTCATCCTGCACTCCCTGGATGATGTCGCCCTGCTGCACGAGTGCCAGGAGGTCTTTTCGAAGGCCTCCTCATCAAAAATGAACTGTCAAAAGTGCAGCGGGCTGCTGGTTGGAGCGGGGGATATGACCGAGTGTCCCGAGAAGGCAAAAGCCATCATTTGGAGCACAACATCGTTGCACCATCTGGGGGTGTTCCTGGGACCAGAGGAGGAACCACCACTGAGGAACTGGGTCGAGCTGGAGGAGAAGGTGAAGGAGCGGCTGGCCACCTGGAGTCGCCTGTGCAAGTTCCTCACCTTCAGGACAAAGACGTTGGTGGTGAACAAGCTAGTGACGTCCATGCTCTGGCACCGACTCTTCTCCCTGCAAACCCCCCCCCCCCCACGAGCCTCTTTAACGCGCTTCAGAAGCGAGTCCTCGACTTCATCTGGTTGGGCGGAGGACACCGGGGCGCGGCTGGGGTCCTGGCCCTGCCACTGGATGAGGGCGGTCACGGGCTGGTGTGTGTGCGGACTCAGCTGGCCACCTTCCGACTGCAGGCTGCGCAAAAGTTCCTGCACGCTGCCCCTTCACCGGCCTGGAGCGTCACGGCCTCCTTCCTCCTGAAACAGCTAGGGGGTCTGCAGTGCTCCAAACAACTATTCTACATGGACCTGCAGGGCCTCCCACTGGGACAGCTGCCACCTTTCTACAGAAGCGTCCTGCAGACATGGAGCTCCCTCGCCGTCAGGAGGTTGAACCAGCCGCAATCGGCCGAGGATCTGTACTTCGAACCAATCCTCAGGAACCCACAGACAAAGCTGCCATCTACCACCGCCACCCCCGGCATGGAGAGGCGCCTCGCCAACGCGCGGCTCACCAGGATGGGAGATCTGGTGGAGCCTGAAACACGGGGCCGGTGGCTCGGACCAGCAGACATGGCCGCAAAGACAGGGCTGCAGTTGCTCCGGGTAGCTGCCCAGATCCTGGCCGAAGCCAAGGGGGCCTTCTCAGCGGCAGCGGGGAGAACGCCCCCCATCGGCGTTGGGGATGACGAGGCCCCTCTCGGTCCCCCTCCACCGGAGCTCTCAGTCGTGCCACTGCATCGCCAATACCGACAAACGAAGGCGGATCACAACCTGTGCCGGCTGGAAGACTTACCAGAGGTGGCCTTCGCAAATGTAAAGAGGAAGGTGCTCTACTCCTACATGGTCCGGATTCAACAACAGGACACCCTGAGGAGCCACAAGGACCATGCCTAGAGGAAAGGCCTGCCCTGCTTCTCTCCGGAGAGGCCTCGCTGGCAACTCTACTCCAGCCCGACATACAACCGCATCGGCGACCTCAGCTGGAGCATTGCCCACGGCACCATCACCACCAACACCTCCCTGGCGTGCTTCACCGACACGTCCCTGGAGTGCCGGTTCTGCAGTAAAGTGGAGACGGTGGCACACCGATACGTGGAGTGCATGAGCCTGGACTCGCTGTTCAAGGTGCTGAGAAACATCCTCCAAAAGTTCAGCCTCCACTTCTCCACGACGGTCCTCATCTTTGAATACCCGAAGGTCGACGGACCCCAACATCTTCAGGGGCTGGTCAACGTTGCTCGTTGGCTACGCCAAGCTCGCCGTACACAGGGTGAGGAAGGTGGCCCAGGAGGGGCAACTTCCGGCCAGCAGCCTGGGCATCTTCCGCACTCTGGTCGAAGCCAGGGTGTGGCCGGAGTTCCGCCATGCGCGGCTGACCCATGCCGTGCCGGCCTTCAAGGAGCAGTGGGCGCTGGAGGAGGCCGTGTGCTCGGTGGCAGAAGACGGAGAGCTCTGTATGCAGATTGTGAGCTACCCGTCGGAGGCTGTAGTACTGCGAGAAGGGCTGGGTGCAGATGCAGCACTTGTCGTAATTTTTTTAATTATAATCATATTACAACTATTACATAGAAAACATAGGGGGAACATAGACATGGAGTAGGGAGAGAGGGGGTAGAGAGAGAGTGGGGGTAGAGAGAGGGGGTAGAGAGAGGAAAGGGGTAAGGGGAGCAGAGCGTGCTATTGTGCAATCTTGGTTAAATCTTTCATTTAAAAGGGGGGGGGGGGGGGGGGGGGGGGGGAGGTTACATAAAGCAAAGCATTAAAAAAACTAAAAAGCTAAATGATGAACGAAGCAAAGTGACGACTACACCGAGCATCTTCTTGTTTCCTCTGATCGTAAAAAAGAGAGAGAGGTTAGAGAGAGGTGAGACAGAGAATAGAGGCAAGTGAGAGAGAGAGAGGGGTGAGAGAGAGGCAAGAGAGAGAAAGATGAGACGTAGCCATGCAGCCAGCGGAGAAGATTGGGGGACGGGGCTGCATCATTATCCGTGATTTCTCTCCTTGCCCGATGATGACACTTCACCATCATTCACCAGAACGACCAGCAACCTCCAATTTCGGGGAAAAATGCTACCAAATGGGAATTACGAGCGTTATTATTATTGTAACTTTTTTTGGTGGTTACGGGTATAAAATAACGATTTCTAAACATCAGCTACCTTCTCCTGTAGGGGGTTGCGGTGTGGCTGATTTGTTTACGACGTCGCTAGTCAACTGGCGGCCTCGGCCAGGCCACTCTTCAGGAGAACGGGCCATCTGCCGAACCACACAAAGGCAAAGGTCCCCGGTGTAGTCCGCGCAGGCTGTGGTGGAAAGTGCTGTTCGCGACTACCAGCGCCTATGAGGGCCGCCACGGCGCACGAGACAGGGGTGGGTGGCCACCACCACGCCTGGCCGCCTTTGTCTCCCGAGTGGTGATGTTTACTGTGCACCGGACCAGGTACTCGTTTGAGGCTGAGTCGACCTAGGCGAGGGCCCAGAACAGGTTCAGATAATCGTCACCGGTGTTGGTGGCCGAGAGCGGGAATCGAAACTCGGGTCGCCGGGTTCATACTCAGCGCAGCACTAACCGTTCCCCCACCTCTCTCCCCTCCAACAACAACAACAACACACACGCACAGGCGTGTGCAGCAGCCTCAGCAGCACCGTACGTACGCTACATCTCGGCCTTATCGAGACCAACAGCTCGGCAGAACTGAAAGCGAGCGGCCGCCGTGGTGTCATTGGGCACCACCCGAGGCTCCAGAATATGCGGCCGTTCTGACTGTCGCGTCCTTAGCTTTGTGTCGTGTTACTGCTGCTACTGTTTATTGTTGTTTGTTGTTGTTTCTTGTCGTTTGTTGTTGTTGGCAGGTGCTCATGCACCACTTGCCAACGCAGCAGCAGTCTGGCCTTCGCACCTGATTGGCTTCACGAGTGACGGACGTTACACTTTACCCAGCCCTATATTTAAGACCAGTACAGGAAGAGGATTTCGCCGCAACTCTGTGGCTGTCGCCTGATGATGTTGCTCGTTTTTGGAAATATTGGCGAAACACCACGGTACTCGAGTTGTAAATGTTGTGGTTGGTTTACTCTCCAACACACAACCGGTTTAGTGCTGAACTAATTGGCATGTGTTTGTTTACATGTCAAACCCTGACTAATTTATATTTACGCGATCTAACCCAGCCAACTTTATTATGAGCAGCAGTCTCACCGACTCACGATAATCGCGGCTAATCAACTGAGCGGTCAATCACTTCAAGTAATTTCCCACCAACCAACCAATCAAAGCAATCGATCCCTCGCTCGCTCGCCCGCATGCTCCATCAATCAGAGGACCGCTGCCTTTGCAGGTGGACCTCAGCGGGCGCTGTCCAGGTGCTGGGATGATGAGGACCACCACCACGACCACGACGACGATGGTGATGACGATGCTGGTCTACCACCTCCAGATCGGCGGAATCCCCGACGCATCCGCACACACCACCACCACCAGCAACACCGGCACCACAACCTCGGCGCTCACCACGAGCCTGTTTACCACGACGCTCACCCTGCTCACCTTGAGCTCGCCGTGCGGGTTTGCCACCGCCGCCCGGACCACCGGATCCACCACCGCCGCCACCGGCACCACCGCCGGTGCCGCCCGGGCAGCCGCCGGTGCCGCCCGGGCAGCCGCCGGTGCCGCCCGGGCAGCCGCCGGTGCCGCCAGGGCCACCGCCGGGGCCGCCGGTGCCGGCAGGGCCACCGCCGGTGCCGGCAAGGCCACCACCCCTGGGGCCGCCAGGGCCACCGCCGGGGCCGGCTCAAAGACGACGTCGGGCGCGGGAGGTGAATCCGCCTCGTCTGCTTTGTCCGGCAAGAAGGTGGCGAGGATCGAGGGGGAGCTCATCCTGGGGGGGATCTTCCCCGTCCACGAGAGGGGCCCCGGTGGGGGCACCAGCGGCGGAGACTGCGGCCCCATCAGCTTCGGCCGCGGCATCCAGAGGATGGAGGCGATGATGTTCGCCATCGACGACATCAACCGCAGCGCCCGCTTGCTGCCCGGGGTGCGCCTGGGGGCGCGCGTCCTCGACTCTTGCCTCACGGACACGTACGCGCTCGAGCAGGTGAGCGGAGGGGTGAGGGGTGGTGTGGTATTGTATACGCTCGAGAAGGTGAGTGGCAGGGTGAGGGTGGTGAAATGTTGGTGGTGAGAGGCTTACCGAAGCCTTCGCTCGGAGGTTCGGAGAGCCATGAGGCGCTGCAAGGATGGGTGGTGGTCATGGGTTGCTGAGGAGATGGAGTCTGGCCCGCAATCACAAATCGCTCTTTATCTCCATGAAAAAAAATAACTTGCAGTGCCACACCTATTACCATCATTATGGGAAAGAACGGTGATCCAATCTCTGACCCTCAGGAACAGGTTTGCAGATTTTGTGAGCATTTCTGTGAGGTCCTGGGGTAGGGGAAATCCCTCAGCCTGCAAACATCGTGGGAAAAATTGGGATGACCCTGCTGAGGCTGCGGTGCATCAAATATTGGAAGAAGTCACCCCCTGTGAGTGTCTGGCTGAGGTGCCATCTGTTCAGGAAGTACTGAAGGCAATCCAGAGTCTGAGACCAGAAAAAGCACCGGGCTGAGATGATCTCCCAAACTGAAATGCTGAGGGAGGGTGACGTTTGTGCCCAGACTGCCTGCCCTACATGACATCAAAACAACAGTCTGGACCACTGGACGGGTTCTGCAGGATTGGAAGGATGCCCTGGTGGTCCCCCTGTTTAAGAAGGGAGACCGCACAGACTGTAACAACTACAGGGGCATCTCATTCCTCAGTGTGCCGGGAAAGGTCCTGGCAAGCATTATTCAACATCGCCTTGCCAGGCACGCTGAGGAGAGGCTTGCGGAGCCCCAATGCGGTTTCAGGAAAGGGCGGTCCTGCACAGATGCCATTTTTTCTGTCCGTCTGCTACAGCAGAGTTGTAGGGAATTCCAACAAGACCTACATCTCTGTTTATTGACCTGGTCAAGTCCTATGATACCATCAGTAGGCCTGGGCTCTGGGTTATTATTCATGCTTTCGGAGCCCCTGACTCTCTGCTCACGATCATTAAGGAGCTTTATGATGGTGAGCTTGTCCGGGCAAAACTACGTGGCTGGGAGTCGGAGTCATTCCCTGTTCACCTTGGTGTGCGACAGGGATGTCCTCTGGCTCACACATTATTTAACATCTTTTTCAACCACGTAGTTCGTGAAGTATCCAATGGCTGTACCGGAGGAATTTCCATCTGGAACAGATACGATGGGAGGCTGATCGATGCCCGGGTACGGTCAAGGGATGGCTCCCGATTGGTCAACCACGTTATGTATTCCGATGATTTGGTAATTGCTGCTCATTCAGAGGAGGAGTTGGAGGTGATGCTGCTAAACCTGGAATGTGCCACTAAGAGGTATGGACTTACAATCAGCCTTACCAAAACTAAGCACCTGCCTGGGTATTTTATACCATCGGACACTCCACCCCCACAACTCCTAATTGGTCGTGGCACAGTTGTGGGGAGAGTGGAGAGTTTCCCATATCTGGGCAGTATGCTCATGACCGGCTCCAGTTTGACAGCAGAAGTCTCACTCCAAATCAGTCGAATGGTATTATATTTTCATCTGTTGCATAATGCTGTGTGGAAGCTATCTCGTCTGTCGCTCAACACAATCGTAGGCAGGCTGGCCTGCCTACGATTCATCCTGGGTTTAACCAGGCTGGATTGTGTGAGGAGCTCACAAATCCTTGAAAGATCTGGACAAAGTCCCATCGGTGAGATCCTCCGGCAGGGATGGCTGCGTTGGCTGGGTCATGTAGCCCGCATGCCCAGCCACAGCATGCATAAACAGCTTTTGCCCGGCTGGATAGAGGGGGTAAATGGGCGCGGGCACAGGCTAGAGAAATAGATGGAGTATAGGAGGATGTGGATCTGAGCGGACTTGCCGATGGCTGGTACCAGCGGTGTCAAGATTGGAGGCAGTCGCCCGCCAGCAAGCAACAACGGAGGGCAGAGGAGAGATGCTCACAAAAATGAGTGGAGAGCGCTGGGTGGCTAAAGCACAGCAGGTTGGCACAGTAGGGGGCATAGGTGGTGCATCAGCCAGTCATCTCAGTCAGTCGACCCGTGGCACCTGGGTCAGCCCCGTGACCTCCTGCCAGTGGGCGTTCGACACTTCACGTGGCCTCAATGTGCGCATAGCCTGGCACAAGCGTCGTGGTGACGTCATCGCCACTTAGTGGCGAATGGCGGTTGTTGTTGTTGTGGTGAGAGTGGTGTCCATCCACCGCAAAACAGAGACCCCCCCTACTACCCCAACCAGAGTTCCCCCGCCCACTACCCCAACCAGAGTACCCCCCCCCCCACTACATCACACAGAGACCCCCCCCACTACCCCAACCAGAGACCCCCCCACTACCCCAACCAGAGACCCCCCCCCCACTACCCCAACCAGAGACCCCCCTCCTTGTGTCTCCCCCTGTCTCCTCCTTGTGTGTCCCCCTGTCTTCTACTTGTGTCTCCTCCCCCTGTCTCCTCCTTGTGTCTCTTCCCCCTGTCTCCTCCTTGTGTCTCCCCCTGTCTCCTCCTTGTGTCTCCCCTGTCTCCTCCTTGTGTCTCCCCCTGTCTCCTCCTTGTGTCTCTTCCCCCTGTCTCCTCCTTGTGTCTCCCCTGTCTCCTCCTTGTGTCTCCCCTGTCTCCTCCTGTGTCTCCCCCTGTCTCCTCCTTGTGTCTCCCTCTGTCTCCTCCTTGTGTCTCCCCCTGTCTCCTCCTTGTGTCTCCCCTGTCTCCTCCTTGTGTCTCCCTCTGTCTCCTCCTTGTGTCTCCCCCTGTCTCCTCCTTGTGTCTCCCCCTGTCTCCTCCTTGTGTCTCCCCCTGTCTCCTCCTTGTATCTCCCTCTGTCTCCTCCTTGTGTCTCCCCCTGTCTCCTCCTTGTGTCTCCCCCTGTCTCCTCCTTGTGTCTCCCCCTGTCTCCTCCTTGTGTCTCCCCCTGTCTCCTCCTTGTATCTCCCTCTGTCTCCTCCTTGTGTCTCCCCCTGTCTCCTCCTTGTGTCTCCCCCTGTCTCCTCCTTGTGTCTCCCCCTGTCTCCTCCTTGTGTCTCCCCCTGTCTCCTCCTTGTATCTCCCTCTGTCTCCTCCTTGTGTCTCCCCCTGTCTCCTCCTTGTGTCTCCCCCTGTCTCCTCCTTGTGTCTCCCCCTGTCTCCTCCTTGTGTCTCCCCCTGTCTCCTCCTTGTATCTCCCTCTGTCTCCTCCTTGTGTCTCCCCCTGTCTCCTCCTTGTGTCTCCCCCTGTCTCCTCCTTGTGTCTCCCCCTGTCTCCTCCTTGTGTCTCCCTCTGTCTCCTCCTTGTGTCTCCCCCTGTCTCCTCCTTGTGTCTCCCCTGTCTCCTCCTTGTGTCTCCCTCTGTCTCCTCCTTGTGTCTCCCCCTGTCTCCTCGTTGTGTCTCCCCCTGTCTCCTCCTTGTGTCTCCCCCTGTCTCCTCCTTGTATCTCCCTCTGTCTCCTCCTTGTGTCTCCCCCTGTCTCCTCCTTGTGTCTCCCCCTGTCTCCTCCTTGTGTCTCCCCCTGTCTCCTCCTTGTGTCTCCCCCTGTCTCCTCCTTGTATCTCCCTCTGTCTCCTCCTTGTGTCTCCCCCTGTCTCCTCCTTGTGTCTCCCCCTGTCTCCTCCTTGTGTCTCCCCCTGTCTCCTCCTTGTGTCTCCCCCTGTCTCCTCCTTGTATCTCCCTCTGTCTCCTCCTTGTGTCTCCCCCTGTCTCCTCCTTGTGTCTCCCCCTGTCTCCTCCTTGTGTCTCCCCCTGTCTCCTCCTTGTGTCTCCCCCTGTCTCCTCCTTGTATCTCCCTCTGTCTCCTCCTTGTGTCTCCCCCTGTCTCCTCCTTGTGTCTCCCCCTGTCTCCTCCTTGTGTCTCCTCCTCACCTCGTTATCCTCCTCCTCGTCACCCCGCAGGCGCTGGAGTTCGTGCGCTCGTCCCTGCAGCGCGTGGAGGAGACGGAGTTCGTGTGCCCCGATGGCTCCTACGCCGTGCAGCAGAAGCGGCCGCTGCCCATCGCCGGCGTCATCGGCGGCTCAGACAGCAGCGTCACCATACAGGTGAGGCACGCGGTGGGCGGACAGGCTTGAGTGGGCACGCAGGCGCGACTTCATTTAGCACGCACGCGCACTTACACACGTGCACACGCGCACACACACGTGCACACGCACACACGCGCGCGCACTTACACACACGCGCACACGCGTGCACACGCGCACACACGCACACACACATGCCCCCACTTACACACGCGCACACACGCACACACGTGCACACCCGCACCACGCACACATGTGCAGACGCACGCGCACGCACAAAAGCCTCAATAGGCTGTAGGGGCAAGTGGTGTTAGCGAGCACCTATGGAAGCCGACACGGCGCACGAGGGGGAGAGTGGCCAGCACCACGCCCGGCCGCCTTTGTCTCCCTAGTGGCGATGTTTACTACACACCGCACCAGGTACTCATTTAAGGCTGAGTCAACACACACACACTCGCTTTCACGCACACACACTCACTTTCACCAATACACTCCTTAAACACACACACACACACACTCACTTTCACACACACACACTTTCATAAGTACACCCCTTTAAAACACACACACTCACTTTCACACACACACACTCACTTTCATAAGTACACCCCTTTAAAACACACACACTCACTTTCACACACACACACTCACTTTCACAAGTACACCCCTTTAAAACACACACACACTCGCTTTCACCAATACACCCCTTTAAAACACACACACACACTCACTTCCACGCACACACACTCGCTCTCACCAATACACCCCTTTAAAACACACACACACACTCGCTTTCACACACACACACACTCACTTTCACCAATACACCCCTTTAAAACACACACACACTCACTTTCACACACACACACTCACTTTCATAAGTACACCCGTTTAAAACACACACACACACTCGCTTTCACCAATACACCCCTTTAAAACACACACACACACTCACTTCCATGCACACACACTCGCTCTCACCAATACACCCCTTTAAAATACACACACACACTCGCTTTCACAGACACACACACACACTCACTTTCACCAATACACCCCTTTAAAACACACACACTCACTTTCACACACACACTCACTTTCACAAGTACACCCCTTTAAAACACACACACACTCACTTTCACAAGTACACCCCTTTAAAACACACACACTCACTTCCACGCACACACACTCGCTCTCACCAATACACCCCTTTAAAACACACACACACACTCGCTTTCACACACACACTCACTTTCACCAATACACCCCTTTAAAACACACACACACTCACTTTCACACACACACACTCACTTTCACAAGTACACCCCTTTAAAACACACACACTCACTTTCACAAGTACATCCCTTTAAAACACACACACACACTCACTTCCACGCACACACACTCGCTCTCACCAATACACCCCTTTAAAACACACACACACACTCGCTTTCACACACACACTCACTTTCACCAATACACCCCTTTAAAACACACACACACTCACTTTCACAAGTACACCCCTTTAAAACACACACACACTCGCTTTCACCAATACACCCCTTTAAAACACACACACACACACTCACTTCCACGCACACACACTCGCTCTCACCAATATACCCCTTTAAAACACACACACACACACTCGCTTTCACACACACACACTCACTTTCACCAATACACCCCTTTAAAACACACACACACTCGCTTTCACAAACACATACACTCACTTTCACAAGTACACCCCTTTAAAACACACACTCGCTTTCACCAATACACCCCTTTAAAACACACACACTCACTTTCACAAGTACACCCCTTTAAAACACACACACACACTCACTTTCACAAGTACACCCCTTTAAAACACACACACACTCACTTTCACACACATACACACTCACTTTCACAAGTACACCCCTTTAAAACACACACACACTCACTTTCACAAGTACACCCTTTTAAAACACACACACACTCACTTTCACAAGTACACCCCTTTAAAACACACACACACACTCACTTTCACAAGTACACCCCTTTAAAACACACACACACTCACTTTCACAAGTACACCCCTTTAAAACACACACACACACACTCACTTTCACAAGTACACCCCTTTAAAACACACACTCACTTTCACAAGTACACCCCTTTAAAACACACACACACACACGTGCATGTGGGCGCACACACGCACACTAAGGGGGCATCCATTGAGTCGGTACACAAAAAATCCGTCAAAACTTGACCCCTCCCCCCTCCCTGTACGCACGCGAACTTTTTACAACCCCCCCCCCCCCCCCCCCGGAACATATAGAACGGCCGATATTAAATACATGCAGAAACTGATTAACAAGGATTCATAATATTAACGTGTTTAAGCAAACAGATAGTCCACCGCCGGACTATCTAACTCATTTGAAGGCCAATGTAGACACATTATTATCCAGGCTTCACCACCCCCCCCCCCCCCCGTTTCCTATGCGTACATTGTCAGTAGACCCCCCCCCATACGCAAGCGAACGCATTTGGGTTACCCCCCTCCAGCCTCCATGCGCACTACTAAATGGATGGCCCCTAACTCCCCGCCCAAGGCTGACTCACCACATCTCACGGAGGATCGCTCCGCTGAACCAAACGCTCCAGGGGTTCAGTGCCTTAAAAGTTCACCTTTTAAGGCAGTGTAAAAATAAATATACTGGATACATATCACGTAAGCTGGGTCGTAAGTCTCGGTGTTAGTAAGCCGGGTGTTTTTGCGCGTTCACTTAACCGCTGCGCGACTGCTCCCCCAGACAATGATCCCCCGTGTAGCCTAAACAGACTGTTGGGGCAAGCGCTGCTAGTGAGCGCCTATGAAGGCACAGGAGGTGGTAGGTGGCCAACGCCACGCCCGGCCGCCTTTGTCTCCCCAGTTACGATATTTACACACCGCACCAGGTACTCATTTGAGGCTGAGTCGACCTACGGGAGGCCCAGGACCGGTTCAGGTAATCGTCATCGGTGTTGGCCGTGAGCGGGAATCAAATTCGGGTCGCCGGGGTCGTAGCTTAGCGTAGCGCTAACCGCTGCACCACCGCTCCCCCAGACACGCAGCCACACACTGACACACACACACGCGCGCGTGTCCCCGTCTCGCCCGTCATCTCTCTAACCCCTGCACCTTGCCACGCCGTGAGCAACATTCTACACGCGGTGGTGGCGTTGACACCGCGCCGAGACCGTCAATGCCTCGGCAACTTACCCAACCCGAACCCGCGGTCTCCATCCCTCCTCCCATTCCTCTTTCTCCAACTCCTCCTCCTCCACCCTCCTGCTCCTCCTCCACATCAATCTCCTCTTCTCTAATCCCCCCCCCTCTTCATCCTCCCCCCCCCCATGTGCACAGGTGGCGAACCTCCTGCGCCTCTTCCGCATCCCGCAGGTGAGCTACGCGTCGACGAGTGCCACGCTGAGCGACCGCTCGCGCTACGACCTCTTCGCGCGCACCGTGCCGCCAGACTCGCACCAGGCACGCGCCATCGCTGACCTCCTGCGCCACTTCGGCTGGACCTACGTCTCCACCGTGGCGTCGGAGGGCGACTACGGCGAGGCGGGCGTCGCGGCCTTCGAGCGCGAGGCCCGCGCGCGCAACATCTGCGTGGCCGCCACCGCCACGGTGGGACGCGGCGCCGGCGCCGGGGCCCCCGTGTCCTACGAGGCGGCGGTCCGCGGCCTGGCGCTCGGCGCCGGCGGGGCCCGCGTGGCCGTCCTCTTCGTGCGCGCCGAGGACGCCCGGGGCCTGCTGGCGGCCGCCCAGCGGCTCAACGCCTCCTTCCAGTGGGTGGCGAGCGACGGGTGGGGCGCCCTGGACGAGGTGGTGCGGGGCCGGGAGCGGGCGGCCGACGGCGCCATCACCGTCGAGCTGTCGTCGTGGCCCGTGCAGGAGTTCGACCGCTACTTCCAGAGCCTCACGCCGGCCAACAACCGCAGGAACCCGTGGTTCCGCGAGTTCTGGGAGCGGCGGTTCCACTGCACGTTGCCCGACACGCGGGCCCAAGCCGCGGCCGCCGGCGGTGCCGGTGGCACAGCGGGTGGCGGCGGTGGTGGCGGTGCCACCGCTCCCACCAAGATGTGCGGCCGGAAGTCGCTGCTGAAGCAGACGAAGCACGAACAGGAGCCCAAGGTGATGTTCGTGATCAACGCGGTGTACGCGATGGCGCACGCGCTGCACAACATGCAGAGGGTGCTGTGTCCCAACACCACGAGGCTGTGCGACGCCATGAAGGCCATCGACGGGCGCCGCCTCTTCAACGACTTCGTGCTGAACATCAGCTTCAACAGTGAGCGAGCGAGCGAGCGAATGAACGAACGAACGAGCGAAAAAACGGAGGAAGGAGCGAGCGAATGAATGAGCGAGCGGACAAACGAGAGAACGAGCGGGTGAATTAGCGTGTGAAAAAGCGAGTGAGTGAACGAGTGAGCTAGCGTTTGACGGAGCGAGTGAATAAACAAGTGAATGAGTGAGTGGACGAAGGAGCGGGCCAGTGAACAAATGAACGAGTGGACGAATGAGTGAACTAGCGAACGAACGAGTGACGAAACGAGCGAGTGGCGAGCGAATGAATGAGCGGGCGAGAGGAATGTAGGTGGCTACAGAAACTTTCCAAAGTGGAGAGGTCATGAAATCGAATTTATGTCAAACAGTACCCTATAATAATGAATAAAAACATCATATTCGCTGTGTTAAATATCAACAAAAACATTTTTTTTCGAGTTGCGGATGGTGGGGTTGGCATTCGTCCCACCCCCCCCCCCCCCCCCTTGGATCCATCCGCTGGAATGTGGGCGAACATCACTGTCAGGATTTCACTACGTCCGGTTCTCGTTTTGACATTTACTTTAAGTTGTAGAAAACTTCACGCCTCCGCTGTCACATCCCGACTGCTGCCAAATCACGAGGAGTCGGGGCATCTCCGCCGTGTGTGACATCTCCATCCTCATCCGGATTGACAATACGAAGAATCCATTCAGATCTACATCCTCATCATCCCGCTTTCTCCCCCTTCTTTCCCCTTCTTCCTCCGCCCTCCTCCTCATCCTGCCTCACCCTCATGCCTCTAACTCCCCCTTCTCCTCTTCCCTCATCATTCCTCTTCCTCACCCCTCCTCTCCTCATCCCTCATCTTTCGCCCTTCTCCCCCTCCTCTTCCTCCCCTCTACTCTTCATCCCTCCTCCCCCTCCTCCTCCCTCTTCATCCCCCCCCTCCTCTTTTCTCCTCTCCCCTATATCTCCATATGCCTCCCCCCCTTCTTCTCCCTCCTCCTCCCCATTTCTCCTCCTCCTCTCACTCCCCTATTCGTTCTTGAGCTGGAGGGGCTCTGTCGACGCTGCGGTCAAAGCCTGCTGGCTGGGCACTCTTCCACCTTTCCACTCGATTAGTATTAAAAATAAATGTGTCGGGTAATGCCCCACTTAGCTGCTATGTAGGTCTTTTTCACACGCCCTTACCTGGCTATCACAATTGATAGCTCAACGCAAGTGGCATATCGTCACGTCATGTCAATGTATATCAGCTGCGCAATATACTGAACGCGTGATGTTGATGCTATACGACCACAGGGAGAGAGACACGCAAACTCCAAATATAATATGCATCGTCATGGTTGGGATTGAACCCACGATCTCTTGTATACCAGGCGAGGTAGTCAACATCTCCTAGCCACCACTGCATTGAACGCTGCAGCAAAAACGTACAAACGGCGGTAATGACATCCGTTGCTCGGCGTTCAGCCACTCCACGACGACGCAGTCTCTATCCGCTGCTGAACCAAGGACTTCCCATCGTAGTGTACCAATTTCTACCGATCGTTTCCCCACTCACCACACCACCACCCCACCCCCGTGTCGATGACATCTTTGTTTCCGAGAAGTGGCAGCCAGCCCTCTCCCACTCTCTCCCATCTCCCCGCGGTGTTCCTCCCCCCCCCCCCCCCCCGTGCCTTTCCTGCCGGTCACGAGAGAAAATCTTCGCGTAAATTAGCCGGACGCCCGCCCCGCCGTAGCAGCAGCAGCAGCAGCCACCCCCCCAGCCGTTCTCCCTGCGTGCAGCCCACCGGGACTCGGTAATTGGCAACATTTCATTAAAGTCCTCACTCCCTCCCTCCCCCCCCCTGCGGGAGCGCGCAAAGCAACAACAAACGGCGCGCGCACACCGCCGTTGTTATTGTTGTTGTTATTGTTGTTGTTCCGGGCGCGTGGTGGTGTCAGTGGCGGCGGCGTCGGCTCTCCCGTGGTCAAGAGACGGCTTCCCGATGATGAGGCAGGCGCTTTGATTCTCTCCCCTCGCCGCAAGGGTTAGAGGGAAGGGAGGACCCCCCCCAAAATAAACAATAATCCATCGGCCACCAGTCAGAGCCCCCCCCATCCCCCCGACGTCCGCTTAAGAATTAGTAAGGTCCGGCGTTAATTATCACTCCTGCCGCCGCACCGTCTGAAGTTATTTTTTTTCCTGGCAGCGGGCAAACGCTAATGAGCGGCGCTGGCGGAATTTACCTGGGGGGGGGGGGGTGGAGAGGGCAGGGGGGGGGGGGGGCACCTCGCTCCCAGACCGTCGGAGTCACCGGTGAGCTACCCTACCGCGCTCGGCCGAGTATTAAACGTCTAACGCATGCTTTCGTTTTCATCTTGGTGTGGGGATGCACATCTCTTTCTCCTTCTCGCTCGATAGCTCGCTCGCTCGAAACTCCAACGCAAGCGAAGGAGTGGCCCTGTAGCGCTCACGGGTTAGAGGTCAGATCGCTGATCCGGCTCCGCTGAGGTCCGAGGTTCCAGTCCGGGTTTTGGCCGCCCACTGCGGTTGAACCGGCGTCTCGAGTTTAGTTGCGTTGATGGTCTCAGCGTGAGAAACCGCTACTACAACAAATAGAAAATCATTTTATCAGCTGTAAGACCCCATGAGCTGCCATGCAACTCTTTTTCAGATGGACCCGGCTATCACAAATGATAGCTCAACGAAGTGGCTTTTCGTGGACAATTATAGCAGCCAAATGAGTCCTGATATCAACTCGCCACTGATGTTAGCCGTGGCTGGGAATTATGCCCAACCAGATGGGTTTATAGCACAGTGCACTAACCACGGTGCCACCACTCGCCACTGATCACTGCACCCCCCGCCGCTGAGCCCTGGGGTAAAATAGGGGTTTCAGCCGCTCGCTCTTCTCAACCCAGTCACCAGTGACTGACATAGACCCATGGACTCACACAGAGACCCATACTGACATCCAGCCCCACAGACTCACATAGAGACCCATAGAATCACACCGAAACCCATAGACTCACATATTGACCCATAGACTAGCATGCAGCCCCATAGACTCACATAGAGACCCATATAATCACACAGAAACACAGACTCACATAGAGAACCATAGACTAACATGCACCCCCATAGACTCACATAAAGACCCGTAAAATCACGCAGAAACCCAAATACTCTCACAGCCTGAGTGTTGATTAAACAGGGTTCTCAACTCGATTTAGGGCTCTCATAATCTGTCACCAATGACTGGACACAAAATAACCCAACCGTATATGAATTTGGCTCTGCACTTCTCTTGGCTAAATTTCAGCTCTGGGTATTAAAATATCAGTTTCACTGTTATGTGACGTTCTGTGTAGAACAGAGTGTCACTTAAGAATAAAAATAGGAAGATATCTAGATTTCAAGTTTTCTTGACTGCAGGGTTCCATACTCTTTGGTTCTTTCGGTAAAGTCACGTAGGTATAACATGAAATGAATTAAATCACGACGTTTCTGGCGCAACACAAGCGTCCATCATCAGGTGGGACAACCACGGCAAGAAACAATTGCTGAAGTGGGCAAAAGGGCTGCTGTAACAAGAGGCCATATAGGTTAGAGAGGGGGGAGGAGCCAGGGAGGAGAGACAGAGAGTAGGGTGTGGGGTAGGGGGAGTGGAGTGCTGCAAGCTAGAGGGATTACAGGGCGAGCAAGGCAGGAACACGGCAAAGTTCCGGTAGGGGGGGAGGGGAGAAGTGAGCGGGGCTGGGAGTGGGAGGCTGAAGAAACTGGATATGAAGGCAACACCATAAAGCAGTTAAGGTTTTACCTGGTTAATAACATCCTTCTAATGATTGCTCAATTTGTATCCATCTTCTCGGTTGAAGTCATGTCTATGTTTATATATCTGGATGGCAACATGAACAAACCTTTGATAGTAGCCTGAAGGTTTGCATTTCTGACCAACACCACCTAACCAGTGAACTGGAACACGTACACCAGGCCCTCAAGATTAATGGGTACTCGGACCGCATTATTTGCAAAGCTGTGTCTCCAACCATGGAGAAACAACCCCCTGAGACGCTTATCAAAACCATCAAGTAACCATACATAGCAGGCGTTACCAAAAATATTTTAAAAATCTTAAACAAACACAAGATCCAGGTCCGATTCAGTACAGTACACAAAATCCGTGATCTAATCCCATCTGTGAAGGATGTCATTCCTGACATGCAATATCCTGGAGTCTACAAACTAAGTCGCACATGTGGTAGGTGTTACATTGGGGAAACGAAACGACATATCTCGGACCGTATTCGCGAGCACAAGGCAGATCTGAAACACGGCAGAACCAATACCTCCACTGTGGCTGACCATTGCTATAACGCTGTGGGCTCTCGTGATATTATTTTTTCCAAGACCAAGGTACTCTGCAAACCTTCGGGCTACTATCAAAGGTTTGTTCATGAAGCCATCCAGATATATAAACATAGACGTAACTTCAACCGAGAAGATGGATACAAATTGAGCAATCATTGGAAGGATGTTATTAACCTGGTAAAACCTTAACTGCTTCATGGTGTTGCCTTCATATCTGCATCTCCAGTTTCTTCAGCCTTGCACTCCCAGCTCCGCTCACTTCTCCCCCCCCCCCCTACCGGCACTTTACATGCTCGTGCCTTGCTCGCCCTGTAATCCCTCTAGCATGTAGCACTCCACTCCCCCTACCCCACAGCCTACTCTCTGTCTCTCCTCCCTGGCTCCTCCCCCCTCTCTAACCTAAATAGCCTCTTGTTACAGCAGCCCTTTTGCCCACTTCACCAATTGTTTCTTGCCGTGGTTGTCCCACCTGATGATGGACGCTTGTGTTGCGCCAGAAACGTCGTGATTTAATTAATTTTATGTTATACCTACGTGACTTTACCAAAAGAACTAAAGAGTAAGAAGAAGATATGTTATATCTGCTTCCGCGGGCCGTTCTATAGAGACCATAATGTCATTTGAACAAGAACGCATCTCAGTGGTAGATTTGCTATGTCTCCTTCCACGTGCCTGTTCTGTAGAGACCAGAGTGTCACTTAAAGAAGAGCGGATCTCATTGGTAAATCTGTTACGTCTGCTTCTGAGGGCCGTTCTGCGCAGACCAGAGTGTCACTTGAAGAAGAACGCACCTCAGTCGTAGATCCGTTATGTCTACTTCCACTGGCCTGATCTATAGAGACCAGAAAGTCACTTGAAGAAGAACGGATCTCAGTGGTAGATATGTTCTGTCTGCTTCTGCGGTCCGTTCTGCGTGGACCAGAGTGTCACTTGAAGAAGAAGGGATCTCGGAGGTAGATCTGTTATGTCTGCTTCTGCGGTCCGTTCTGCGTGGACCAGAGTGTCACTTGAAGAAGGGATCTCGGAGGTAGATCTGTTATGTTTGCTTCCAGGGGCCATTCTGACCACCGCTCCACGAGGTTTCCGAGCGGCCTCCCCAACTCGTGACAACGCGATGCCACTGGCAGCGGTGCGATCGGTGATCAGATTGGGAAGAAAACAACCAACTGCTGTCCCTCTGCTCCCCTACACCCCCCCGCCCCCGCCACCGGCCGCAGCTCCGTACCGCTCCCCCGGCTCCGGCAAGGTGCGCCTGGACGCGAGCGGCGAGGGCGTGGTGCGCTACAACATCTACGCGTTCCAGCGCGACCCGCCGCGGCGCCACCACCACCGCTACGTGCGCGTGGGCCACTGGGACGAGGAGGCCCTGCGCGTGAATGCCACCCTCGTGGCCTGGGCCCGCCACGGCGGCGCGCCGCCCGCGTCGCGCTGCAGCGAGCCGTGCGGCCCCGGCGAGGCCCGGAGCGCGCGGGCCGCCCGGCGACGCCTGCTGCTGGTCGTGCGCGCCTTGCCGGCCCCACGAGTACCTCGCCGACGAGGCCACGTGCCGGGACTGCGGGCCGGGCCGCCGGCCCTCCGCCGACCTCTCGGGGTGCCGCGACATCCCCGCCGAGCACCTGGCGTGGGGCGACGCGCCGGCCGCCGCGTCCGTCGGCTTCGCCGTGCTCGGCGTCGTCGGCACGGCGCTGGTGGGCGCGGCGCTGGCGCGGCACGGCCGCTCGGCGGCGGCGCGGGCGTCCGACCGCGGGCTCTGCGGCGTGCTGCTGCTCGGCGTGGCGACGTGCTATGGCACGACGTTCGCGTTCGTGGCGCGCCCGTCGGCGGCCTCGTGCGCCGCTCGCCGCGTGGGCCTCGGCACGTCGCTGGCGGCGTGCTACGCGCCGCTGCTCGCCAAGACCGTCGGAGCGGCGTGCGGCGGCGGCGGCGGCGGCGGCGGCGGAGGAGGAGGAGGAGGCGGGGGGGCGCGCCGCCTCCGCTTCGCCGGTCCCGCGTCGCGGCTGCTCCTCTGCCTGGCGCTCGTCGCGGGCCAGCTGGCGTCGGCCTCCGTGTGGCTCGTGGTGGAGCGGCCCGGCGTGGTGCGCGACGCCTCGCCCGAGCGCAGGGAGCGCGTGGTGCTGCGCTGCAACGTGCGCGACTCCAGCGTGCTGGCGTCGCTCGCGTACGACGTGCTGCTCGTCGTGCTGTGCACGCTGTACGCCTACAGGGCGCGCAAGTGCCCCGAAAACTTCGGCGAGGCCAAGTACGTCGCCCTCACCATGTACACCACGTGCGTCGTCTGGCTCGCCTTCCTGCCCATCTTCTACGCCACCGCCAGCGACTACAGGGTAAGCGCGCCTCTCGATCGGCGATGGTTGCCGGCACCGCGCAGTAACCCGCTCGCCCGCTCACTCTCGTAGAGAGAGAGGGACAGAGGGGGGAGGGGAGGGCGACTCGAAGGTGCCAGTAGAAGGAACCTCAGACGAGGAGCTGAAAGGCAGCAGCAGCATCCGGCACTACCAACAATTTCCCAAGCTCTGCGGTCCTCTATATGCGAAGGTGGTATTGTCCATTCAATCAGGGTTTCGAAGTGGGCGAGAAAATCGGAGCACCCGGAGTAAATACCCGCATGCGAGGGGGCAACGCTCTATCCCGTACAAATGGGACGGCATTTTGTCGTACCACCTTTCCCCTGGCGAGCCAGGAAATAGCACCGTCTCGACATTTAAGGAAGATGGACTAGGTGGAGATTAGTCCACACTTTGCAGTACCGCGAGCCAGGGTACAGCTCCCCCTCGACACTCACGGGCAGAATGGAGTTTCACAGCCCATCTGTGGAGTAATCCACCAATCCTCGCTGCTGTCTCCACGACACACACAGGCAGCAGTCACGTGCAGCAGCAGCAGCAGCGTAGTCACCACTTGTCACAGAGCACGGTTACGTTTCACGCGAGAGCTCAAGAAACGCGAGAGGATGAGTCTCATTTGCACCACCGTGATTACCACCACCACAGTGATCACCACCACCGTGATCACCACAACCACCACCGTGACCACCACCACCACCAACGTGACCACCACCGTCATCACCACTACCAACATCACCACCACCACCACCGTGACCATCACCAAAACAGACAAGAGTAAATAACAAATATATTAAAGGTTCAGCAAAGAAGCAAAGAGAAATCAGAGCAAAAAAACCCAACGGCCTGGTCTCGTGAGCAATTGAGAATATCTCACAACCACGGGTCACTGTTATAAACACAATAATGAGTTTATAATCCGAGTAAATTACCCATTTGAGGTGTGATATATCTGTATCAAGGGTGACTGGGCCAGCCGATAGACACGGCAGCAAGAGTTACAAATCCATTAATAAAACACGATATAAAATATTAAAGAGGTTAAAACTGGACGATCTTACAAAAACATTGAATGTGCATTCGTGTGTGCACAACGTGCGTTTAAAAGAGTAGAGGGATATGGCAGGTTGGTGATCCCCACAGAAATCTAGGATTTCTCTTTCAAACCGCTCTTCGTGTCTTCAGCTTGTTACCCTTCTCCTGTGCCTCCGATGAGCGCGGTCGCCTACGTACGGTGCAAAAGAAGTTCCGCACCTGCACAGTACATACGGGAGAAGGTCGGGGTTTGGCTCCAAACCGTTGCAGCAAAACGAGGGTATATACAAGAGGGGAATCGAGGTTTCGCGAGCAAACAATCCGGGACACGCATCGCAGAGCACTTTTGGGGATTTCGTGACGGTATGAACACGCCCGTAGGTACCCTATCACGGCCAACCAGTTGCCTCTTAACCTGTTCGTGCCTCCATCCCCTGGGGGTGGTGCGGGACAAGCCCCTTCCCAGAACCAATGGGGTTGCAGGCTCCAGCAGTGGTTAAGAACCACCGCGAGCAACGATGGTGGACGTGGTGGACGCCACCGCGCGACACGGACAATCGGGAAGGAAAACTCCGACCCTCTGATTGGGCCACTTAACAGGGGCCTGGAGAGGGGAAATTGGTTAGAGGCAGCGAAACTTGAAGGTGATTGGAGGTCGAAATGCAGAAATGGAAAGGGCGGGAAGCGGAGGGATAATTGACGTAGAGGGGGCGGTTGGGATCCGTGAGGAAATGTGGGATGGTGATTGGTTGGAGGAGGAAGCGGAGGGTCCAAAAAGCTTCGGGAAAGGGAGCTTGAGGGATATATAATTGGGGAAGCGACGGAGTTCGCTCTCTGATTGGTTATTGGAAAGCGGAATTGGTTAGAGGCAGGGGAACTTGAAGGTGATTGGAGGTTGAAAAGCATGAACAGAAACGGAGGAAAACGGAGGGAAACGGAGGGATGATTGACAGGGAGGGGCGGTTGGGATCTGTGAGGAAATGTGGGACGGTGATTGGCTGGAGGGAAAGCAGATGATCAAGGAGGCTCCAAGAAAGGGGGCTTGAGGGAGGGTAACTTGAAGGTGATTGGAGGTAGAAATACAAACACGGAAAGGGCGGGAAACGGAGGGATGATTGACGTGGAGGGGCAGTTGGGGATCCGTTTGATAAAGTTGGACGGTGATTGGCTGGAGGAGGATGCGGAGGGTCTAGGAAGCTTCGAGGAAAGGGGGCTAGAGGGATATTTATTAGAGGGGGAAACGCGAGGTTTCGGGAGGCTCGGAGCGAAGGGAAATCCTGGAAGACCCGTGCCTGTTTCGTGCTGGAAGATATAAAGACGACCGCGTGTCAGGCATCTGATAAATAAATCAAAGATCTTATCGATGAATATCGCCCAACGTGAGCTCACCCGTCGCAGCAGCAAGGGCGGCAGCGAGTCGGCTCGGGAAGATGATGCTGACTCTGCTCTCGGCACCAATGATGACGTCGAGTTAGACAACAAACATGACACACACACACGTGTAGGGAGGTGGCTGTTGTAATGGCGTGTGTAAAGAGACGAGGTCATACGAGTCACATGGGCATTGGTAGTCTATGGACAATGTTAGTATGTTGGTAATGTTAGTTTATGGGCAATGTTAGTCTATGGGCAATTTTAGTATGTGGGTAATGTTAGTTTATGGGCAATGTTAGTCTATGGGCATTGGTAGACTATGGATAATGTTAGTTTATCGGCACTGATAGCTAGTCTATGGGAAATAATAGTCCATTGGCAATGTTAGTCCATTTGCAATGTTAGTCTATGGGAAATGTTAGTCTGTGGGTAATGTTAGTATATGGACAATGTTAGTCTATGGGAAATAATAGTCAATTGACAATGTTAGTCTATGGGCAATGATAGCCTAAGGGGAATGTTAGTCTATGCGCATTGTTAGTCTATGGGCAATGTTAGTCTATGGGTAATGTTAGACTATGGGTAATGTGAGTCTATGGCCAATGTGAGACTATGGGTAATGTTAGTATATGGGCAATGTTAGTCTATGGGCAATGTTAGTCTATGGGCAATGTTAGTCTAAGGGCAATGTTAGTCTATGGGCAATTGTTAGTCTATGGGTAATGTTAGACTATGGGTAATGTGAGTCTATGGGCAATGTGAGACTATGGGTAATGTTAGTATATGGGCAATGTTAGTCTATGGGCAATGTTAGTCTATGCGCATTGTTAGTCTATGGGTAATGGTAGTCTGTTTCACTATTTGTAAACAGACGCTAACCACTGCGCCACCGCTCCCAACCCCCAAAAGACACAGCCAAAGATCCCCCCCATAGCCTTAACAGACTGTTGGGGCAAGTGCTGTTAGCGAGCACTATTAAGACCGGCACGGCACAAGAGGGGGTGGGAGCCCAGCATCGCACCCGGCCGCCTTTGTCTTCCTCTTCTGGATGGGCGTCGAAGAAAGACGTCCACTGCATCGTGCACTTTGAGATGAGCTTCTGCGGCCATCTGGAACGCTCTTCCTATCGATATTCGGAAGCCACTGGAGCTATGCACTTCTAAATCGTCATCTAGCTTGACTAACTAATTTCTTCGGAACTGCTTGTTGTGTTAAGTTTGTTGTCCTTCCCCCGCATTTCCAGTTAGCACGGTTGGAAACGTACGGTAAAAGTGGCGATGTTCACACACTACAAAGGGTACTCATTTGAGGCTGAGTCGACCTAGGGGTAGGCCCAGGAAACAGTTCAGATCACCACCACCACCGTGATCACCACCACCACCACCACCACCGTGAGCACCACCACCACCGTGACCACAACCACCACCGTGATCACCACTACCACCACCATCGTGATCACAACCACCGTGATCACCACAACCACCGCGATCACCACCACCACCGTGATCACCACCACCACCGTGATCACCACCACCAACACCACCACCACCACCACCGTGATCACCACCACCAACACCACCACCACCGTGATCACCACCACCACCGTGATCACCACCACCGTGATCACCACCACCGTGATCACCACCACCACCGTGATCACCACCACCGTGATCACCACCACCGTGATCACCACCACCACCATGATGACCACCACCGTGATCACCACCACCGTGATCACCACCACCGTGATCACCACCAACACCGTGATCACCACCACCGTGATTACCACCACCGTGATCACCACCACCACCATGATGACCACCACCGTGATCACCACCACCGTGATCACCACCACCGTGATCACCACCAACACCGTGATCACCACCACCGTGATTACCACCACCGTGATCACCACCACCAACACCGTGATCACCACCACCGTGATCACCACCACTGTGATCACCACCACCGTGATCACCACCACCAACACCGTGATCACCACCACCGTGATCACCACCACCGTGATCACCACCACCGAGATCACCACCACCGTGATCACCACCACCGAGATCACAGACCATCGCCGCAGAGCCCACGTGCTTTGCCACTACCTCGCCTGGTACACAGAAGGTCGTGGGCTCGATCCTGACCCTGACCTCTGCTGCTGCTGCTGTATATTTGGAGTTCGCGGCGTCTCTCTCCCCGTGGATTTTTCTGTATTTGGCTCCTACCATGAATGTCCACGTGATGATGATGATGATGAGCCCACTTCTTTGACCTATCATTTGCGATGGCCACGTCAGGGCTTCTGAAAAACGAGCGACGTAGCAGCTCAGTCGTGGGGGGGTGGGGGTGGGGGGCTTACCTGGTGACACGAACACACGAAGACGCCGGGTGTCTGTTGGCTTTCCGCAGGTGCAGACCGCCTCCATGTGCGTCTTTGTGAGCCTCAGCGGCTCAGTGGTTCTCTGCTGCCTCTTCGCGCCCAAGCTTCACGTCCTGCTGCGGGAGGAGCAGCGGCTGCGGCGGGAGCAGCAGCAGCAGCAACAGCAGCAGCGAGAGGAGCGAGGCGCGTCGAGCCCAGCGGCACGAGGGACGGAGATCGCCGCAAGCGGCGCGGCCACCGCCGCTGCGCTGTCGTGGAGCCGCTTCAGCGTCGGCGGCTCCGTGACGTCGCAGCAGAGTGCGGGTGACCACGGCGGTGGCGGCGGTGGTGGTGGTGGTTGTGGTGGTGGTGGTGACAGTGGTGGTGGCGGTGGTGGTGGCGGTGGTTGTGGTGGTGGTGGCGGTGGTGGCGGTGGTTGTGGTGGTTGTGGTGGCGGTGGTGGCGGTGGTTGTGGTCATCGTGGTGGTGGTGACGGTGGTGGTGGTTGTGGGGAGCGGTGGTGTAGCAGTTAGCGCTACGCTGCGCTACGAACACGGCGACCCGGGTTCGAGTTCCCACTCACAACCAACACTGGTGACGATTATCTGCACCGGTCCTGGGCCTCCCCTAGGTCGACTCAGCCTCAAATGAGTACCCGATGCGGTGTGAAAACATCGCCACTAGGGAGACAAAGGCGGTCGGGCGAGGTGCTGGCCACCCACCCCCTCGTGTGCCTTGCCGGCCTTCATAGGCGCTCGCTAACAGCATGTACAGTTTGTTAAGGCTACACGGGGTAGCTTTTGTCATCGTTGACGGTGGCGGTGATGAGGAGGAGGTGGCAGTGGTCGTGCCACCGCTGCCGCCACCACCATCACAGCCACCGCCACAACCACCTCGTTAAAACCACCTCGTTAAAACCACCTCGTTAAAACCCAGAGCCGCGACACGATCATCGCCACGACCTCGCCGCTATCATCCTCATCATCATCGTCACTGTGATTGCCAGGAGCGGGGAAGACGAGGTGAGGAAGGAGACGAGTTGAGGGGGAGACGAGGTGAGGGGGTGACGAGGTGAGGGCGTTGACGCTATCTAGGTTGGGGGGGGGTTGTGACGAGTAGCAGAGTGAGTTTACAAGAGATACGGCTCCCTGACAGGATGGGAGGGTGGCGGCGGTGGTGGTGGTGGTGACGATGAGGGGTGAGTTGGGGTGGGGTGGCACGCGACCACGGCCTTCTAGAACGAGGTGGGGTGGGGGGTAGATTATGGCCTGTCAGCCAGGGCCTGTCAGCCTCCTGATGACGCCCTCACTCGAGGAGTCCATTACCGGTAATTACCGTGGGGATGCTGCGCCCGTCGTTCCGCTGACACGCGCCGCGATCCTGGGGGGGTGGGGGGAAGGGGGGGGCTAAAGTGGGGAGGGGCGAAGTGAAGGAGAGCGAAGTGGGGTGGGCGATCCCTGCAATGATCATTTTGTACCTCCGATTAGCACGGTTGGCTACGTACGGTACGAAAGAAATTCAATATATGAACACGCTGCCCATCGACGCAACACTGCCCCACAGACTCAACACTGCCCATAGACTCAACACTGCCCATAGACTCAACACTGCCCATAGACTCAACACTACCCATAGACTAACACTGCCCATAGACTCAACACTTCCCCATAGACTCAACACTGCCCATAGACTCAACACTGCCCATAGACTCACCACTGCCCCATAGACTCAACACTGCCCATAGACTCAACACTGCCCGTGGACTCAACACTGCCCATAGACTCAACACTGCCCGTGGACTCAACACTGCCCATAGACTCACCACTGCCCCATAGACTCAACACTGCCCATGGACTCAACACTGCCCATAGACTCACCACTGCCCCATAGACTCAACACTGCCCATAGACTCAACACTGCCCATAGACTCAACACTGCCCATAGACTCAACACTGCCCGTGGATCCATACTCTTTGGTTCTATTGGGTAAAGTCACGTAGGTAAAAAATTAGAACTGCCCGTGGACTCAACACTGCCCATAGACTCACCACTGCCACATAGACTCAACACTGCCCATAGACTCAACATTTCCCCAGAGACTCAACACTGCCTATAGACTCAACACAGCCCATAGACTCACCACTGCCCCATAGACTCACCACTGCCCCATAGACTCAACACTGCCCCATAGACTCAACACTTCCCCATAGACTCACCACTGCCCCATAGACTCAACACTCCCCATAGACTCAACACTGCCCATAGACTCAACACTGCCCCATAGACTCAACACTTCCCCATAGACTCACCACTGCCCCATAGACTCAACACTCCCCATAGACTCAACACTGCCCATAGACTCAACACTGCCCGTAGACTCAACACTGCCCATAGACTCAAAACTGCCCATAGACTCAACACTACCCACAGACTCAACACTGCCCATAGACTCAACACTGCCCGTGGACTCAACACTGCCCATAGACTCACCACTGCCCCATAGACTCAACACTGCCCATAGACTCAACATTTCCCCATAGACTCAACACTGCCCATAGACTCAACATTGCCCGTAGACTCAACACTGCCCATAGACTCAACACTGCCCATAGACTTAACACTGCACATTGACTCAATACTACCCATAGACTCAACACTGCCCATAGACTCAACACTGCCCATTGACTCAACACTGCTTTATAAACTCAAGACTGCCCATAGACTCAACACTGCCCAATTGACTCAACACTGCCCACAGACTCAACACTGCCCCATCGACTCAACACTCCCCATAGACTCAACACTGCCCCATAGACTCAACACTACCCATAGACTCAACACTGCCTGTAGACTCAACACTGCCGTAGACTAAACACTGCCCCATAGACTCAACACTGCCCGTAGACTCAACACTGCCCATTGACTCAACACTGCCCATAGACTAACACTGCCCATAGACTCACACTGCCCATAGACTCAACACTGCCCATATACTCAACACTGAACATTGACTCAACACTGCCCGTAGACTCAACACTGCCCCATAGAATCAACACTGCCCATAGACGCAGCACTGCCAATAGACTCAACACTACCCATTGACTCAACACTGCCCATAGAATTTAGCATTGAAATAACTAGGCGAATTTAGCATTGAAATAACTGAGTGATTAGCTTGTGACTGGTCACAGAAATGGCTATGTTGAAGTCAAGGCCTACACATCTGAGCTATTCACAGTAGACTGGGTATACAATACAATATATAATGAATACTATATAGTGAACCAATAAAAAACTATAATATAAATTACCTCAATGTTATCAATAAACTCTATATTATCCAATCAGCTAAGCTACCCACAATAAGTCGTTATATATCACAATGCTATATGGCGAAAAAATGGGTGGATTCTTACCCTCAACTTTAGCAACACGGACGAGTTCATCCTGGTCGGAACAGAGGAGGGGGAGAGAGACAGCTGCGAGGCGCTGTTATAATCCATGTTGTAAACCATACCATTAACCGTGGTGTGAGAGGTATTAAGAGTCAATGCCAGCGAAAAAGCTGCGGTCTGAAGGTCATCGTAAAATACAATTAATTAAGAACGGAAATGGTTTCAAACATCTTTCCAATGGTTACTAAGCCAGAATCCATCTTCCCGGTTGAAATTGTCTCTGTGCTTGTATATGTGAATGGCCTCATGAACGAATCTCTCATGGTAGCCGGTTGGTTTGCAAAGAACCTCCGTCTTGGAGAAGTCAATGTCATGTGAGCCCACTGAATTATAAGAGTGATCTGCCACGGCAGAGGAGTTCGTTCTACCGTGTTTCAAGTCTGCTTTATGTTCGCGGATGCGGTCCGAGATATGTCGTTTGGTTTCTCCAATGTAGCTACTACCACAGAGGCACTTTAGTTTGTAAACGCCCGGGTACTGTATGTCTGGAACAGCATCTTTTACAGATGGAACTAGATCACGGATTGTATGTACTGTGTTGAATCGGACCTGGATCTTGTGTTTATTCACTATCATATAGTAAACCGATGTGAAAAAACCTACGTCTAAATTACATCAATATAATAAATGTACTCAATATATTCTTCAATAAGCTGGGTAAGAATCCACCCATTTTTTCGCCATATAGCATTGTGATATATAACGACTTAGTGTTGGTAGCTTAGCTGATTGGATAATATATAGTTTATTGATAACATTGAGTTAGTTTATATTTTAATTTTTATTGGTTTACTATATGGTATTCATTATATAGTGTAGTGTATACCCATGCAATTACTGTTAATAGCTCAGCTTATTGAAGAATATATTGAGTACATTTATTATATTGATGTAATTTAGACTTAGGTTTTTTTCACATCGGTTTACTGTATGATAGTCGAGTTGTTGCAGCCCCTTTGGTGTCCATGTACTAGGTGCCTTTGTAGATGTGTAGGTTTTGACTTTAACATAGCTATTTCTATGACCAGTCACAAGCTAATCCCTCAGTTATTTCAATGCTAAATTCTCCTGTTTGATTTATACTAGGTGCCTCTGTGGATGTGTAGGCTTGACTTTAACATAGCCATTTCTATGACCAGTCACAAGCTAATTTCTCAGTTATTTCAATGCTAAATTATCCTGTTTGATTTGTACTAGGTGCCTCTGTGGATGTGTAGGCTTTGACTTTAACATAGCTATTTCTACGACCAGTCACTTGCTAATCACTTAGCTATTTCAATGCTAAATTCTCCTGTTTGATATGTAAACCCCTTTGTCAAGGCGCCTCACTTCTCTAAACCAGCTTAAAAAACGCTACGAATCTTAACAACGTTCATTGAAGCTCTATCGTCCCGACAGGTCTGTTCCTTTCACCTGAAGAAGGCCACTTGTGTTGTGGCCGAAACGTCGTGAGAATTTTATTGTGTTATTTAATTTAATTAATTTACTTTTTTATTCTCATTCTACGTGACTTTACCAAAAGAACCAAAGAAGACTCAACACTGCCCAAAGACGCAACACTCCCCATAGACTCAACACTGCCCATAGACTCAACACTGCCCGTGAAGTTCCGTCTGTCACCTGTTCCGTCTGTCATCTGTTCAGTCTTTCATCCATCCAGTCTCACACTTGTTCAATCTCTCAACTGTTCCGTCTCTCACCTGTTCCATCTCTCACCTAATTCGTCTCTCACCCGTTGTCTCTTACCCGTCCAGTCTCCCACCTGTTCAGTCACTCATCTGTTCCATCTCCCACCTGTTCTGTCTCTAACCTGCCCAGTCTTTCACCTGTTCAGACTGTCACCCGTCCAGTCTCTCACCTGTCCAGTCTCTCACCTGTCCAGTATCTCACCTGTCCAGTCTCTCACCTGTCCAGTCTCTCACCTGTCCAGTCTCTCACCTGTTCATGCTCTCACCGGTTCAGTCTCTCACCTGTCTAGACACTCACCAATTCAGTCTCTTATCTGTTCAGGCTGGCGTACGAGGGAACTTCGGGTCCAATGCGCGAGATATACACTCGTGCTGTTAATCGTGTTCATTATTACCACCGATATCTTAATCAAAATCATCACCGCAATTAATTGAACGGGGAAGTCCCCCGCTTAATGTGCAGTTGCACCGCCTGCGCACTCGACAGCTAACCCACTGCAACCATCATTGCCCCAATCGTCTTCACCACCGCCGCCACCGCCGGCACCGCCATCGTCTGTAACCGCACTCGCCACTGGTCACGCGCACCTCAAGGGGGCCCGGTCCGCTTCACGGCCGTGCGCCGTCGACAGATCCACGCTCCGGCGTCATCCGCCGGAGCGGGAAGCCATCGCGCGCCCGGCGTCGCGTCGCTCACTCAGGATGATCACGAACGTGGGGCGGCCGTCTCTCCCCTCCACACCACCACCACCACCACCACCCTCGTGCGGCAGGCACCGGGCAGGAGCCTCGCTCTCCAGGGGAGCCCCCAGACTCTGCGACGCTTTCCTCGGGGAACAATCTCAGCATCCATAATCGCGGGGATTTTTTTGGGGCTACATCTCGTGAATATAAATGTGTCGTTAAACACTCCAGCACCCGACACAGCCAACTAGTAAGATTTGTCACGTAAACAAAACATGCCGATTAGTTGCTACTTCAGCACGAACCGGTTGTGTGTTGCAGAGCAAACCCACAGCATTTACAATTTGAGTACGACATTTCGCCAGTAATTACAACCAGCATCATGAAGCGGACAGCCAGATTTGTGGGGAAATCCTCCTGTTTAGTTCCATTATATAGAGGGATAGATGTGATGATAGATGTGATGATATATGTGATGAATAACTAGCCGTGTCGGGTGGTGGCGCTTTTCACGACACATTTACATTCACGTGATCTCACCCAAAAAAACCTCTTTTGGATGATATTGGTCGCAAAATCCTACTGCGTGTTAAATAATCTCAGCATCGCCCCGACTTGAATTACCAATCACGACCTTGCCCACTCTCTCTCTCTCTCTGAATCTCACTCTACCCTTCAACCCCCCCCCCTCGCTCCCCCTCAGTTCCCGCGCTCCCCCCGAGTGACCCCGCTCTGTGCAATGGACACGAAGTTATCGACTCCACCACCTCCTCGCTGTGAGCGCTCTGCTCATCGGGAGAGAGAGCCCTCTCACGGCGCTGCCAGCGGAGTCAACTCTCTCATGGCTGCTCAAGTCGGGTCAACTCTCTCACGGCGCTGCCAGTGGGGTCAACTCTCTCACGGCGCTGCCAGTGGGGTCAACTCTCTCACGGTTGTTCCAGCGGGGTCAACTCTCTCACGGCGCTGTCAGCGGGGTCAACTCTCTCATGGTCACTCCAGCGGGGTCAACTCTCTCACGGTTGCTCCAGCGGGGTCAACTCTCTCACGGCGCTGTCAACGGGGTCAACTCTCTCATGGTCACTCCAGCGGGGTCAACTCTCTCACGGTTGCTCCAGCGGGGTAAACTCTCTCACGACCACTCCAGCGGGGTCAACTCTCTCACGGCTGCTCAAGTCGGGTCAACTCTATCATGGCGCTGCCAGCGGGGTCAACTCTCTCATGGTCACTCCAGCGGGGTCAACTCTCTCACGTCTGCTCAAGTCGGGTCAACTCTATCATGGTCACTCCAGTGGGGTCAACTCTCTCACAGCGCTGCTAGCGTGGTCAACTCTCTCAAAGCAACTCCAACGGGGTCAACTCTCTCATAGCCACTCTAGTGGGGTCAACTTTATCATGGCTGTTCCAGCGACGTCAACTGGTCAGCTGGTGGTGGGGATCGGGGTGGGGGGCGGGGTGAGCAGGAGGGGTTCAGGTGCCGGTACTATGAAAGTGGTGGGGTGGGAATTCATACATGGGAGGACCCACCCCGCCCCTCCCTCCCCCTAAATCTCCCGCTAACCCCCCTGCCCCTCCCCCCTCACATTCCCCCGCTAGCCCCCACCTTCACCCCTCCCCCTGCGAGCGTGTGGTTGAGGCTCAGAGTGGCGGAGTGACCGCTCGATGACCTGGCACCCACACTCGGGAAGAGGACGTCGCCCCTGGCACTGTGCGTCTCTGTCAAGCAGCTATCGTCATCGTCATCATCATCGTCGCCATCATCGTTTCCGTCATCACCAACATCATCATCATCATCGCCGTCATCATTTCCGTCATCATCGTCATTGTCACCGTCACCACGATCCTGGCGTGCCTCTTCTCCAGCCCCCCCCCTTCCCCCCGAGGTGACGCCGTTCCTGTGGGCGAGTGTGGTCCTCGCTGTGTATGCGATGGTGAGAACAAAGCCAAGAGTGACCCTCAAGTGCGTAGTCCTGGACGGCTGCCATAGAAACGTGGAATTTACACCACCACCACGGGCTCAGGGGCCACCACACAGCACCACGCTCGACTTAAAGAATCCGACAAAAGACATTCGCAAACATTCCACATCTCTCGTTCACATTTCTCCAGAATTTGTATTTATTTTTGACTCAACGACTCGGGGAGTCTATGGGCAGTGTTGGTCTATGGGCAGTGTTGGTCTATGGGCAGTGTTAGTCTGTGGGCAGTGTTAGTTTATGGGCAGTGTTAGTCTATGGGCAGTGTTAGTCTATGGGCAGTGCTGGTCTATGGGCAGTGTTAGTCTATGGGCGGTGTTGGTCTGTGGGCAGTGTTGGTCTATGGGCGGTGTTGGTCTGTGGGCGGTGTTGAGTCTATGGGCAGTGTTGGTCTATGGGGAGTGTTGAGTCTATAGGTTGTGTTGGTCTATCCCTCCCTATGAGCCACGTTCTTTCGCAAAGACGACGGCGATCACAGCCCTCCTTCCATCCAACCTCTGTCCTTAAGATTTTACTCAACAGCCCTGTGGTGGAATCTCCTCCAAGTGGCATCCAATAGTTCTGAACCCTCTCGTGGACCTCGATGCTTAGGTTGTTAACTCTCCCCCCTGCCCGCCCCCCTCATTGGGGGTGTCTCGCCACATTGCCCATGTCTCGCCTTCTCACGAGGGCGAACGCCATCGGATTCGCATTCGCTGCCAGCACTCCGCGCCATTGCTGCCGCGTCGCTTTCTCGCGGACGCTCAAGAAGCCCCTCCCCCCCGGTGACGTCGCTCATGTGAGCCAGTGACGTCGCTCATGTGGGGCGTCACCGTCGAGTGGCCACCGGTGTCGCCGCCTACAGTTTGCCAAGTGACCAGGGAGCGCTGTGGGCGCTGCGTGGGGATCCTGCCACGTGAGTTGTCGGGACGAGGTTGGGTTTTTTGTTAAGACTTTTTAAACTTCTCAAAAAAAATTTGTACAATTTTTTTTCATTTTTTTTCCAATTTATTTCACAATCTCTTTACTTTTTATATAAAAAAAATTCCCAATTTTTGTAGTTTGTTTTACTTCTTTTACTATTTTTATTTTCGTCACACCATTTAAAAAATTAGTTTTAACTTTTTTTGCTCTTTTAATTTTACGAGGTAAGGGCCCCCACCACTGAGCTGAGACGTAGCTCTTTTTCAGAAGCCACAAATTATAGCTCAACGATAAGTGTGACGGCTTATCATCATCGTCATCACGTGGAAATGTATAGCAGTAGCAAAATAACTCGATTCTAAATGCGGAGGGGAAAATCCCAAGGACCCGGAGAAGAATTCACGCGACCACGAGGAGAGAGAGAGATACACCACAAACTCCAAATATACAGCAGGCGTCGGGGTCGGAACCAAATCCACCACCTCCTGTACACCAGGCGAGGTAGTTAACATCTCCTAGCCACCGTGGCGAGATGTTAACTGCCTGGCTGAGGTTCAGGCGAGCGCAGGGAGGAGTGATGTTCGCTTGCGCAGTCTTTGGGCGGCCGGGCTGAGTCCATCGCACCCGGAGTCGAACCCACGTGTCACAGCTGTTGCTGGCTCATTCTCTGACAATGGCTTCATCGGACCTCTGGGCGACCCCGGTACAATTCCACGTGTGTTTGTGTGTGCGTGTGTGCGTGTCTGTATGTGGGATCTGTAGTGTAGTCACGGTTAGTGCTACGCTGTGCAATGAACCCAGCGATGCGAGTTCGATTTCCGCTCACGGCCAACACCGGTGATGATTATTTGAAGTGGGCGTCCCCTAAGTCGACTCAGCCTCAAATGAGTACCTGGTGCGATGTGTAAACATCGCTACTAGAGAGACAAAGGCGGCCGGGCGTGGTGCTGGCCACCCACCCACTCGTGTGCTATGCCGGCCATAATAGGTGCTCGCTAACAGCACTTGGCCCAATAGTCTGTTAAGGCTATAGGGGAGATCTTTGATCTTTGTTGTTGTGTGTGGAGAGCGGTAGTGTAGCGGTTAGCGCCCTGCACTATTAACCCAGTGTCTTGCGTTTTTTTCCCGCTCACGGCCAACACCGGTGGCGATTATCTGAACCGGTCCTAGGTCTCCCCTAGGTCGCCTCGCAATCAAATGAGTACCTGGTGCGGTGTGTAAATCATCGTGACTGGGGAGACAAAGGCGGTCGGGCATGTTGTTGGCTACCCGCTGCCCCCGAGTCTACCATTCTGGCCTTCATAGTACTCGCTAACAGCACTTGCCCAAACAGTCTTTTGAGGCTATACGGGGGATCTTTGTCTTTGTGTGTGCGTGTGTTTACGTTTTTGGGGAGCGGTAGTGTAAGCGTTTAGCGAACTGTGCTCCAAAGCCAGCCACCCGGGTTCGATTCCCGCTCACGGCCACCAACACCGGTGACGATTATCTGAACCGGTCCTGGGCCTACCCTAGGTCGACTCGGCCTCAAATGAGTAACTGGTGCAGTGTATAAACGTCACCACTTAGGGAGACGAAATTCGGCCGGGCGTGGTGATAGCCACCGTTCCCCCTCGTGTGTCGTGCATGCCTTCATAGGTGCTGCTCGCGAACAGCACTTGCCCCAACGGCCTGCTGAGGCTACATGGCGGGGGGTCGCTGTGTTTGCGTGTTTACGAGCGGCCAGGTTTTGATGGATTTGTTTTTTGTTCCAACTCGCTGGGACTCCGGCCCGTTGGGGTTTTCGCGTTTTTCCGCCCGCGGCAGAGGTTCGCCGGTTCGATTCCAGCGGTCGCCCTGGTTAATGCTCTCGGGTCGTGTGTTATTGACTGCGGCATTACGGAGTGTAAGGTAAAGATTTCCCGGGAGTAGGCCATTGCGTGCAGGCGTTGGCAGTCCATATTTGAGAAATTGCACGACGCGGACTTCTCAATTGGGATTATGCGGAGTGGAAATGTACGTCAGCTGGTAACGCCGTGCGCTATACCCGCTCACTTGCTCTCGTAGGGAAGGAGGGAGGAAGGGAGGCAGGGAGGGAGGGGGAGGGAGGGATGCTTAGAGGCACCAGGAGAGGAGGAACCACAGACGAGGAGCGGAAAGGCAGCAGCAGAAGCAGCCGCGCGGTGACCAGGAACCGCCGCCACCGACAATTGTCCCTCCAAGCTCTGCGGTCCTCTCTACATGAAGGTGTTATCGGGAAATTTACGCGTGGGAGCAAACCACAGCACCCAGAGATGAACCATGCGTGAGAGGGGGCAATGCTCAATCCCCACACTGAAGGAACAGGTGGGAGTCTGCAGTTTTACTGAACGTGAACCGCCTTCTGCTGGCGACACAGGGCTATGGCTCCTCCTCGATGCCCGGCCACGGGTAAGAATGGAGCATCCGTGTGTGATCCACCAACCCCTCACTTGCTGCTGCCTCCAACCGCCGCCCGCCTGTCGCGCCAGCGGCCACCGCGTGGGGGCCCCTTCGCTCGCGACAACTTCGTTGGAGGAGAGAGCCACGGGACAAGGCTCTCCTGGGTCAACAACCAGAATCATCAACAACAAAAGTTCAACAACCCGCGTGGCGAAACCCAGAATCAAAAACCAGGTTGATGAGCGGCACTGGCTCTATTTTCTCCGACACGGACATAATGGACCCGTTGTGACCCCCCTTCTCCTCTCCGTCACACCCCCCGAGAGTCACTGGTGGAAGTGTTTCTTGTGAGTCGTCCCTGCTGTGTGTGTGGTGATAGCGCTGCCGGTGCTGCTGGTGCTGGTGGGGAGCGATTGTGTAGTAGCAATTGGCACGCTGCGCTACGAACCCGGCTACCACCCCGAGTTCGATTACCGCTCACGGCCACCAAACATCGGTGACGATTTATCCGGCCTGGGAATGGGCCTACCCTCCTAGGTCGACTCAGCCTCAAATTAATTCCTGGTGCGCTGTGTGTAAAAAAAAAACATCGCCACCGGGGAGACAAAGGTGGCCGGGCGTGGTGCAAGGCTACCCACACCCTCGTGTGGCGTACCGGCCTTCATAGGTGCTGCTCGCTATCACAGCACTCGCCCCAACAGTCTGTTCAGGCTTACACGGGGATCTCTGTCTTTGGTGTCGTGAGTTGGGAGATATTCCCACGTATTGAATCAAGGTAATCAGCACATAAATGATGATGATGATAACACCCCTCGACGCGTTGACAAAAGAAGCGGACGTGTGTCGATGATGCGAGTGTTGTGATTTCGGTGAAAATGGTTTAGTTGTCTGTGTGTGCGTGTGCACAGTGATTGTGAATGTTTTATAACGAGTCGCAGTGTCGGCGAGAGGGAGATCGGAGCGGACATCGATGCTAAGCAGGTTCTGGGGCTCTCTTTTTCTCCTCCACTCTCTCTCTCTCTTTTTTTACGATCAGAGGAAACAAGAAGGTGCTCGGTGTAGTCGTCACTTTGCTTTGTTCATCGTTTCATTTTTTTTAATGCTTTGCTTTATGTAAACCTCCACCCCCCTTTTAAATGAAAGATTTAACAAAATATTTCTTGCTCTGCTCTCCTTACCCCTTCCCTCTCTCTCTCTCTACCCCCCTCTCTGCCCCCCCTCTCTC